ATGGAAATTTTACATTATTATACTTGAAAAGGCGTCTTCATACTTGTCCGTAAAATTAATGGTACACAGTTTATTTCATTTTTTCTTTCGTGTGAAGTATTAAAATAATGCTAATAGAATCCAAACCCAACCAATTCAAAGGAAGCGCTTGTGGTGGATACCTGCATTTATTTCGATAACCAGGAACAGTAGTATTTTCTAACTTTCAGAAATTAAACACTATGATCAGCGATCAAAATTTGTTGAAGTAAAAAGTAATTTGTAAGTTTTAAGATAAATGTATTACCTTCCATCAGTCTACTTTCTTTTATAAGAATAGCAATAAGTTTCCAACACTTCTCAACTTATGTTCACGAACCGCAGCAAATTTGGAGCGGGCCACTTTATAGTCATATTACACAGAAAATACTGTTTTCAAAAACTTCAGCCTCACCTTATTTGAAGATCTGCTTTTTATGAACACATTTCTTTGAAAATGAATTGTATCTTCACAGTAGTCGTGAGAAGACGCTGAATTTTTTTTAATATTCATAAAATCAGGTATTTCAACGAACATGAGACCTGTGCCATTCTCTTATACTGCGATTTATCCAATTTCCAGTTCCTGATTGGATAAAACCGTCGACAGCTGATACCTTCCAGGGGCAGAATTGGATAAACCGCAGTATAAGCGACCTTTACTCTAAGGTCTAAACTTAATGAAAACTAGTAGTGCTACAGAATGGCACAGACTTTCCCGTATTATTATTATTTTTATTTCCTTTGGTCGCAGCTAGCAACTCGGACTTGCTCGGACAAACTCTTGCCAGCTGCCATCTCCGCCCAAGTACATTTTTTGACATTGTCGTAATTTTTCGGTTTCCTAATAGCAATACGGAAATATTATTTTGAAATTATTAAAGAACAGTAAAACCTCATTCAATGTTATTTGAAGCACTTAACTCACAAATGAAATAGTGTTTCCAAATCGCTGGAAATGTGCATATTAACGGCATAAAAGTAATTCAAAAAAGTACATTTGTGTAATGTTTGAAAAAATAAAAGAATATAGCAAAATTAATTTTATGGTCTTAAGAAGTGCAATTAGCACTATCCGCACGAAATGTTTGAAGAAAAAATTTGGAGCCGTTTTTGAGAAACTTTGTATGATATTATGTACTCATGAATGCAATAATGTGAACAAATAAATATTAACGACTTGAGAGACAAGTCAAAAAATTACAGTTTTGTGATTAAAAAAAAGAATAGAGCAATATTGCTTTTATGCCATGTCATAGAATACATTAGGCAGTCTTCTTGCCAAAAGTTTAGAGAAAATTTGGTGCAGTCTTTGGGAAAATATTGTTTTTGTTCTTTTTTAAAAATGTTTAGAAAATGTTTTAAAAAAATTGGATCCAATTTTGAAAAAAATTGGAAAATGTCGGGGGACTTCGTGTAATGTACTCGCAAATTTTGAAGAAAGTTTTTCAAAAACTCAGCGCCTAGAGTCGAGCCAGGGGGCCAGGGAATATCTCTTTTGGAAAGAATCCTATGTGTGGTTTAGGTGCAAGTGGTATTCACGGACAGACGGTCGGATGGATGTTTTGAAAACGAAACACTTTTTCGGTATCGCGACCAGACAAAATATTACATTTTTGTGATTTTTGAAAAAAAATTATGGAGCAGTTTGGCGTTTATGTCATATTATGGAGAACATTCAGTACTATCTCTAGCAATAGTTTAAACAAATTAGAGCGTTTTTAAAGAAAATTTTGTTTTTGTAATGTTTTAAAATCGCAAATATTGCACGCACTATTGCGCGAAAACTACTAAAATTTTCACACAATCTTCATGAAAAAACTAATTATGGACAACACATTTCATTTGAAGGGAACATATCTGTATTCAATGTTGTATATGTAGGAAGACACCAAAACTATTCGAACTTCTGCAATTAACGAAAATTCAGAGTTAACAGTGAAAATCGGACCGGCTCCGCCTTTATAAGTGTATTTTACTCGAACCGAAAAACTTCCGTCTGTTAGTCTGTGAACTACGCTAGCGATTAAACCGATCACCCGATTTTCTCCAAAATTGATATTCCCCTGTGGATCTGGTTGACGTCGCGGCCCCTTGAATTTGAAATCGCAAATTTTATTTTGGGCGGTATTTTAAATGAAGACCCCAGGGCCATTTTCCAAAAAATGGCGGAAAGCCGTGAAGGGTTTAGAAGGCGAGATCTACAATAGATGCCGCTCAACATGCAGTTGACAGAGCCCGGAAGGCAATACGAGGCAAAAGACGGAGACGGGGTAGGAAAAAGTACTGCACTATTGTCACCCTAGATTCTAGGGCTTAAAACGCCTTCAAACCTGCGTGATGGAACTGCATTCTAAGAGCTCTACAGCTCCTGTTTAGCATCACCGTCAACTACTTTAAAGCGAGAATGCTGTTGTATCGCATGGTGGATGTCGACGGACCCATACATTCATTGATAGTGATTCCGGGAACGTCAACTAGTAGGGTCCCGTCAGCGTAGTGCATACTTTTTATCTGGAGGTGTCGGTGGTCTCCCCCCGCTGTATGGCGAGATCCGGCGCCGACCAACCGTCGGCTGGCGGGATTTACCCCAACCAGGTATCTCCAACCAGGTGGGCACCGCCTCAGCCCGGACAAGTTCTAAGGCCCCGACCAGTCTTCCCACATGTAGTGCATGTTCGTGTGTGTGTGTGTGTGTGAGGATAGAACAAGAACGGGGAAGGAAAGGCCAAGGGCCACCCGTTCGTCAGGGTACTCGCCAGGTACGGATCGGAGAAACCACGGGAAACTACCGACGAGAGCAGCCGGCCGCTAGAATTCTCCTCCAGACCGCGACAGAGCTCGCCCTAGCTACGTAGGTGGTGTGAAAAACATCCTGCCAGCGGGGGAGTGGCAGCCTAGCACCTCCCGGCCAGAGGCGTTGCACAGGGCTCCGTTCTGGGCCGCCTTTTGCAACGTCCGGAAGGGGCCGAGTGGCTCTCACCAGTGACCAAACGCAGAGAGGAAGTGCTTGAAATCGCCAATGAAGCCATATCTAAAACCTCTTAAGTCTCATTCCCGTGAAAAATTATAATTAAATACATTCAGAATCGCTAAACAATTGTTATCATGTGTTAAAAGTTCGCAAGTTTATTATTACGAAAAAGGGCACAAGCAATATATTCTATAACCTCTCTAGAGAACAAGAGAGATTTAGAAGTTATAAAAACTGTCATATATGACTTCTGACATAAAATTGTTTTCATACGATAATATTAAGAAGTAAATACCCTGTCTTACTGCGAGACCTAATAAATTAAATTAAGGAAGAACTTACTTGAACTTCAAGATCTTAAACCTTATACGATAACTTGCGACTTTTCAGAACAAGCCTTTTCTGGCAGAGAATTTTTCAAAATTAATGAATTCTTAATTTAGTTGCTTGGTTTTAGCAATTAATGCAATTTTTTAAATCTTGCGATCATGTATGTTATTATTCGTAAACTTTCTTGTGATCTCGGTAGGTAAATTGAATTAAACAACTTGTTCAAAGTATTTTTTCACGGTAAGACTTTTGCGCATGGAAGTTAGGTTACAAATTTATAATCACATATTGATTTGATAGTAACGAAAGGAGTGAAAGACACCTGAAACAAAAAAGGAACACGTTTCAAAAATAAAACTATCTTTATTTTTCCATTTGAAGGAAAATGGTGGAAAGCACATTCGTGTGCAAATGGGTATAAACGAATGGCGTGCTCTCAACTGGTCACAAAAATTAACAATGAGCTGTTTACAGCAAGAGTGAAACAAAGTAAAAGATGCGCAATTCAAATGGAAATTGCTAAAGAAATTTTGGAAACGTTACCATAAATGGAATAGCACCCTTGTAGGAAGGGCTGTAATAATTCCTATCTAGAATCTATTTGAAGATACAAAGCTGAACGTTTTAGACATTATACAAAATGTTCTAGTAACAAGAATGTTGTCCCTTTGAAAAAGACACTTTTTATAATGTGCTTAACGAAATGAATATTGGTTTGTATCAATCCACAAAATATATTTGCTTTGGATTTAAAACAGGAAATATTAAAGATGACTACATAAATCACCAAGAAAGTAAAGTAGAACCAAGAAAAATATCAATGTCAAAGAAAAGGGCAAGTTAATGTTCACGATGTACTTACAAGCTGTACTGTCGGGTCCAGGGGCAAAATATTATAAAACTAAACAGTGCATAACATGACCTTAATGTAAAGAACAGAGATGGCTTTTGCTTCCTTTGGGGTGAGATCGAGGGAGCCTGATCAGGAATAACTGCAACTGTAAACGCTGCCGCGTTTATTAGTTACTTCCAAGTAGAAGTAAAAACGTAGATTGTATTCACACCACTCTCAGGAGATTAACAAGGCCCGTCCCATAAATATGTGTAAACAAAGTTTCCTTTGAAAAGTTACTCTTAAAATAATTCTGGTATGTACAGTATTACAAGCATCACTTTAAGAGATGAAACATCATAACAGACGAGCACCAGGTTTCGGAAATGGAGGCGCTCCAAAACATTACAATTTCTTGGCCCAGGAACTCACGTTTGGCTGCGCTCTCGTGTTCGTAAGTGCCCAGTCGCTATATTTACTGATCAACCTGCTGCTAGCGCCGCAGTTGCACAACGTTATCAATCTTTAGGAAAATCCTCACAAGTTTATCACGTGTCTAAAGTAGCATGTAGTGACCTCTGAATCTGTTATGGAGAAATAAGGTAAAGAAAATCTTAAGGCTATTTAAGTGTGAATTCACCTGTGCTATACACCTGCAAAAAGAATTTTACGCTGAGGTCATTCAGAGTTGTGAGTGGGAATGTGCGTAAGAATAGCATGCCATCTGCGCAGCTTTTATAGCAGACAGCATTCATGACGCTTACGACTGCGAGTCGGTTTGTGCTTAGCTAAACTACTTCTCTGTAGGAAGGTAAAAGGTGCGCCCAAATGAAAAGGAGACTACAGTGATATGGAAAGAAACTTTAATGCCAACATGCGAATTACATTTCATTTTGAACAGTACACCTATAAATAACAACTATCGACATTGATACACTTATCCCAGCGCGTAGGAAGTGTGTGGATGGCTTCCGAAACAACTCCTGGTTGTTCCAGGGTGGCTTTCACGTCATCGTTGAAGAGAAATCTCTGACCTTCCAAAAAAAAATAAAGGGGCCGAACATATGGGAGTCGCATAAGGACGTATCCAAGCTGCACGGAGGATGTTGCAGGACCTCCTAGCGAAACTTCGCAAGGGTGTTCTTGGACACAGGCCAACTTTGTGTGGATGGTGTGATGCACCGTCTCTTTGCTTATCGGCAGTTTCACGTGGTGTGTGATACGACGATTTTGCCGTGAGAGCTTATCCACAGACGCAATCTACGCACTGTTGGTCACCACTTGCAGGCGTGGCAAGTCCTTGACGCTGACATCACAGGAACACGGAACACCGCGCGAGACACGTCACCATGCACCTCGTGTAGTCTTCGATACATTTGTAACGCATACTGCCCTTCGCGAAGAAATTGAAGCACTACTCTCGAGGCATCCGTTACGAAACGAACTGCGGAAACAATGCGACCTAACTGGAGCAATTTTTGCGACGCTTTCTCCGAGGAAAAAACAGCACGCTCTCTATCGGCTACCATGTACACTAACGGGGAGTTGATTCAACACTACCACGATCACGGTCCTAGTTTCATTTGGGCGAACCTCTGATTTTGATAAAGCGATCTTAAGGTCGTCCACCGCTGTGGGTTCGCATGTGTCTAACTAAAACATTTTTGAAAGTGAATCTCTTTTGGCAAACCATGCATTCAAAAGGGCGTTCGCCACTGTGAATCTGCATGTGGCTAACCAAACCCGATCTCAACGAAAAACGTTTTTGGCAAAGGGAGCACTTATAACCGCGATCGCCGTTATGTGTCAGCATGTGCGACGTTAAATGACTTCTCTGTTTGAAGCTCCTCTTGCAGACTGAACATTCGTAAGGGCGTTCACCACTATGGATCCGCATGTGCCTAACTAAAACATGTTTCGACGTGAATCTCTTTTGACAGACCGAACACTCGTGCAGGCGTTTACTGCTGTGAATCTGCTCATGTTGGGTCAAAAGACTTCTCTTTGCAAATCTCTTTTGGCAGACCGAGCATTCATAAGAGCTTTCACTTCTGTGGATTTGCATGTGCTCAACTAATTGTCGTCCGTGTTTGAAGCTCGTCTGGCAGACACAGCATTCGTGGGAGCGTTCGTCATTGTGGATCCGCATGTGTTCAACTAAAATACTCCTCTTTTTGAAGCCTTTATTGCAGATAGAGCATTCATAAGGGCGGTCGCTGTTGTGAATCCGCATGTGCTTCACTAAACAACTTTTAGACATAAAGCTCTTTTGGCAGATGGGGCAGGCCTGACTTTGATCACCACTGTGAATTCGCATGTGCTTAACTAGACTACTTTTAAACTTGAATTTCTTTGGGCAAATGGAACAGTCATGACGTTCACCACTGTGGATCGGCATGTGCCCATCTAAGGAACTTTTCTGCGAGAAGCTCTTCTGGCAGACCGTGCATTTATAAGGACGTTCATCGTTGTGGATCCGCATGTGCACAACTACATGTCCACTCTGTTTGAAGCTCTTCTCGCAGACAGAGCATTCGTAAGGGCGTTCGCCACTGTGAATCCGCATGTGCTTAACTAAACTACTTTTAAACTCGAATCTCTTTTGGCAGATGGAGCAGACATGAAGATTTTCGCTACTGTGGATCCTCATGTGTTTAGCTAAAACTTTATACTTGAAGCTCTTATGGCAGATGGAACACACATGACGAGCATGCATCTCTGGCCGTTCGTGAATCAGCGTGTGCTGAACTAAAGAACTTTTCCGCGGAAAGCTCCTCTGGCACACAGAGCATTCGTAAGGACGTTCACCGTTGTGCACCCGCATGTGCTCCACCAAATGCCCGCTCTGCGTGAAGCTCCTCATACAAACAGAACACTGATAAGGGCGCTCGCCGTTGTGTATGCGCATGTGTCGAAGCAAATTCGATCTGGACTTGAAGTGTTTTTGGCACAGGGAACACTCAAGGCAAATTTCGCATTTCTGCATACTCCTAACTCCACATCCACTTTCTGAAGAACTCTTAACACCGCCAATGACTTCATCTTTATGCTGGGAGAATTTAGGATTAACGAGATGTGAACTATTACACACTTTCCTCTCCTGAGATTTCACTCCAGCTTCCTTATAAGTTACATCATTGGCCTCGTTGCAGACGCTATTACCATCTTCATCCGTGTTTCCCACACGCTTCTCCGAGTTGCTGAAGGTGCCCGTAGTGGCACTATCTTCACCTGCAAGCAGAAATACTTCATTAGAATTCGGGATGATTAATGCAAAACGGGGGAGCACTGGAATGCGCGGGAAAATGACTAATTAGGAACGCGGCTCAATGACAGTCATCACAAACTACTTTATTTGTCATGCCTATTCAAAATTGTTTTTATAACTTGAATAGCGTATTCTCTGATATGGCGGTTGCAATTTATTCATGCCAGATTTTCCGATGTAAATTAAATTGAACTGTTTTTTTTAAATAAATGCATTTTTAATTTAATTTGGTTGTTTATGACAATTATATCATGTAAAACCGATTATTTTTAACGATTTACTATCCAGGATAATTTCAGAGTCCCTAAATAGGATTGGATGGGGTTTATATTACAATGTACAGTATTTTTGTCGTGCATTTTTTCGGTTACTTTGTTAAATAATTACGTTCTATTAAGTTCTTATACTTTTACTCATATAGTTTAATTCCGACTGAAGACACAACACTTCCAAAACAAAAGAAACGTTATTGACTACACAATCTTTTTCAAAAACAACCCAGTTTCCCTTTCCTACTCTTAAAATAAAATTTAAGTAAGGGCAATTTCATTTTTCGCGAATATTTCGAAAACTGTGTAAATTACTACTAAATTAAAACACTACTAAACGTTTTCTGAAGACGAAAATGTTTACTTTTTGTGAACGAACGAACATACGAAGAAATATACATAGCATGAAGTTATATAACGCCGTGGAAGATCGATTACGAGATTTTAGCGGAAATAACGGCTATGGATTTTAAGGGGGGCCGAAGGTGCCTATACTGTTCATGTTAAAATGAGGATACTTGATGTACCTTTTTTCAGAAACTATTGCATTTTTCACAGCATGTACATTGAGTCTTTCTTATCACTTTAACACAGGGAAATTTTAATATTTAGAATAGGTTTTGAGTAATATAATTTTAAAATTACACTAATTGTTTTCTGAAATTCAAAAACTATTTTCGTACCTGTCCAAATAGTTGTGTGTTTGTAAAATGCATGTGTTAAAATAGACTGAATAACTGGTAATAAGATGTGAAATTCGGGACACCTAACATTAATATTTTGGAGAAAATGTTACTTGTATATGAAAATGTGTAACTTACGAGAAATACCTTCTTAAGTTCCATACCAAAAAAATGCTCGTGTAACCACCTGTTGGCGCTTTCTAGAGCTCTATCAGTGCAAATTAATAATACAACAATCTATCAGCACTAAAAATGCAAGGAGATGTAAGCAGGGTTTTCCAACAATTGCCGCGCTCATGGATTCGACAACAATGCGCGAGCGATAAGTTCGATTTTCATTTGCCACGTGGAAGAATAGAGCCAAGACTGCTCTATTCGTTTTCTGCGGAGACAGTATTTCCTTTTGTTATAACCATAACATTTCTGCAACCTTTCGATTGTTTTATCAATGAATTGACCTCTTTCCCCATAGTTTTCGCCTCATTTAGTTTTGTCGTACCAAGTGTTTGTTTCAAGTATTTCAATCTCACCCTCATTCGCTTTTGAACCGTAACATCTGTACATTATGGTTTTAATTTCCCCAAACACTTGAACCTTTAGTCACCATTTTCGAGACTACACTTTTCAAACACCAAATCTTGATAGTCAAAAGCGATAAACCAAAAATTTTTCATGTATTTTGAAGAGTAAGAATGAAATTATTTTTTAAAGGAAAAAAATCGATTTTATGGAGGGATGGACCCCTCCGACTCCCCTTAACAGTTTTGAGATTCCCTGACACTGAAAGTATTTTTCTATGTCCGTGAGTTAGTCCGAGTTCACTAACGCCTAAACTATTATTAGAATTTTTCCAAAAAGGAATATTCCTCCATCCATCTGAACCGCCTCGAAAACGGCAATTCTGAAAAGAAATTAAAAAGTTTTCAGAGTACTTTACATGATGCCCCTGGGGCAATTTAATTTTTTTCCAAAAAATTCCATTTCATAATATTCTTGAACAAATAGAGTGAAATACATTTACAAAAATAGCAATAGATGCAATTTTCCGTTACCCTTAGATTTTCGAAAAATAGAAGTTTGTCATTGTTTAAACTCCCTCGTACAACTACAATATTGAGGAAAGTACGTTGGCAGCAAGCAATTATCGTGTAGTTTCTTTGAACCAGAGCTCTCAGATGCCGAGAGAAAAGCATAGTGCATGAATGACGTGAAATTCGTAAGGAGAACTTTATTTTCGTCTAGAGAGGTGTAACCATGACAATAAATTCTTGGCTATCCGGGAGGTGCCGCGTCGTTGGCTGAAAGGCCGACGTTTCGCCTGACATGTCGCAGGCTTCCTCAGGGCAGAGGAAACGTCGGCCTCTCAGCCAACGACGCGGCGTCTCCCGAACAGCCAAGAATTTTATGGAATTTATTGATTAATTTATGGAATCGAGCCGCGGAAGCTCACGACTGCGTAACCATGACAATGTTTTCAATATCGATTGACTCTTACGGCAAAGTAATTATCTTTGTCAATTATGTGTCGCTTTTTTGAGAACTCTCTCGTTTGACACACAGAAGGCGATGCATAAAACTTCTCGGAGCAGTTTCTGCTAACGGTCTCCCAATCATCTAAGCAATATTTCGTAGCCTCAACAATGCAAAATACGCGCCTATATTTACACGAATATGCACCAAGAGGACAAAATCCGCCAAATATGCACAATGATGCCCTAACATACCTATCTATATAGCATCGAATTCTAACCAAATTTCAAGAAATTGAACTTTGCTATGCAATGGAGAAAAATATACAAAATCATTAAAATCCGCCCCTAGCAATGACAAAAAAGACGCTAGGCTACACGCGGTGGAATCGAAGACTCAACAAGCCTCTTAGTTCAGTGCATTCTACTCTTCATTAACTCTGCGTTGTATTTATTAATCTCCGAGGTATCTCTAGTACTTCGCCCGCAAGACGTGGCCCAGGGCATCGAATTCTGGGCTTCTGACCGCGAGGTTCGAGAAGAGGTCGAGGGAGGACCGGGTCGAGTCCCGACGGCGGCAGGATTTTCGACTGGAGCTACATAGCCTGGTCGAATTAACCCGCTGACTGAAGAACTCTGCCTTCTCTGATTGGTAGTTTTCCGTGGTTTCTGCGATCAACGCCCGGTGTCGCGTAGCCGCGGAAAGGGCGCCTCCGCAGAAAAGACAACCAGTGTAACAACCTGACCTCCGCTGAGGAGGGGGACGAATGCTACTCGAGAGCGCTCCGCCCTTTCGTCCGTTGCATGGACCTTCGCCTCCACTGACTGTTCAGATCGCTCCAAACTGGCCCTGCCGACCTCCCTTCACCCCTAGTCGGGTCAAACGCCCAGCCGATCTCCACCCCTAGTCGGTCAAAACTAAGCAATTTCTAATTTTTGTTTAAATTTTATTCCTCAAAAAGGCTCCATCGTTTTTTTATGAAAGTTTGTTGGTGGATAGTCTAATAGAAAATGATGCAGGTCTCACGTTGGTTAAAATACCTGATTTTTCGTCAACTGAAAAAAATCAAACTTTTTTCAGGGTCTTCTTGCAATTACAATTATGAAGATACATTTTTTAAATGAAGTGTATTCATCAAAAACAGATCTTCAAATAAAGTAATGTTGAATTTTTCGAAACCGTGAGTATTTTTGGAGTAATTGGGCGTCAAAGTTAGTCGCCCGCTCTGGAAATACTGCGCTTCTTTCGTCGTAATTTTAGACGTTTTGAACCAGTTGGATGCTATGTATGTTAGAATGTATATAATATTTTGTACTTCTTTGTTCGTTTTTTATATTGGAGCTTTTATTGTTTGCAAATTATTTTTTTAGAAATTATTTGAAATAAATATGAAATAAAAATCGCTAGCCCAGTCGCCCGCTCCCAATTTATGCAGTTGGATGCTACGTAAGAATTTGAATATTATTTCATATAATCATTTTGTTATTATTTATATTATATTTCTGTTATTTCATTTTAAATTGAGTCCTTCAATTGTATTAAATGTGAAAACTAATAGATGAATGGTTGTTGTTGGTTGTTACCCATTGTAGCGCCGCCCAGAACAATAATGGCGGATGCTTTTAGTTTGGGGAAATGAAAACAAATACTTTTATATATTTGTAGAATATTACAAGACCATAGTGTTTAATATTTACTATTACATATTTTTCGATCTATTCGTTTGCCAACGTCATCAGTATCGTATTTTTTTATTTACTTTGAATTACTTTACTTTCCCGCATTGTGCTTATTTTTCGCATCAAATGTTCTATGATTTCAATTGAGATATACAAAAAATTATTATGAGAGAAATTGTAGTAAAAATAGTATTATATAATCATTACTAATGGCGAGAAATTACGTTCTGTTTTAGCACAAGTTCTCCTGGTACCAATCTCGACCAAGCTGGAAACAGCTGCAAACCTGGACAACCCGAAGACACGGTCGTGTTTTGCCTTTCTGTTAAGTCGGATATCTTGATTGATATTAGTCACGATTTTTTATTATTTTCATTGATGCGAACAGACTTTGTTCTCTCACGAGAAATCTCATCCTACTTTTGAGTATGACCTGCGATTTCTTTTGAGGACAGAGCTTTCTGTGTGTGATATGTCTTTCTCAGTGCTGGCGAAGAACGAAACACTTAATTCTGTTTTCACTGACGCGACATCAAGATTCAAACTGGAGTCCACAATATTTGTTTTCGAAGAGAAACGTCGCGAGTAAAACAAATTCATAGACGCCATATAGGATGATCATATTCTTGGAATCAAGATTACCAAGAATATACCGTTTCCTTATACGCAAGTGCTAATGTAAATTTCAGCTAGAATAAAAATGCGAATAATTATGATTAATTTTGCACAAAAACTCCTTTTAAATGATTTTTAGTGTTCACGTGCCTTTAGCACTCCCACTTTACCCACAATAAATTCCTTTTTATGGGCCTATTTTAGTAAAAGTAAACGTCAACTTTCAGGCTCTAGTTATCAATAAAGATTTGTAAATGGCTCCTACCAACAACAAACCTTACAATAGGGCTCACACAGCCTTTTTCACGATTTAACAATACATCATAGGTGGAAATTAAAATATTTTACAGAAAAATCTTTATTGAATAAACAAGAACACGTTAAATCCCCGAAAAAGTACAAAAAAAGTCATCAATTTTTGGTAACTTACATAGCGAAATAATTTCTTAACATAGTTTTCAGAAGGATTTCTAATATATTTGACCAAACCTTGCTGACCTGAACCTGTAGTTGAAGGGTTTGGTTCAATCTCACAATTTTTCTCGCTTGTCTGCGCAGCTCATCGGTGTTTCGTCGAAAGGGAAAGGGGAGGCTGCAGTCGATGATCTGGGGAGGGCCGACTGAATGATCGGTCGTGGAATGAGCCTCGCTCATCTTCTGCTGGAATGTTCAGCAACGCGGCCCTCACAGCTGAAACGACGCGGGAAACATCCTTTCTGACGGCCATCTGCGACGACAGTGGCATGTTTTTTGTCACCCCGTACATAGACAAGAAGAAGTGGTACAGAGAATCGCTCGGAACTCTCATTTGTTCGAAAATCCTTCTTCTTTCTTCCGATCTCGATTGTCCCCGTTCTTCATGTTGCTGTATGCGTCTTTTGAGTAAGTCAGCAACAGTTTCTTTCTTTTTCCTTTTAGCAGATTTTGTGTCGATGGCTGTCGGTGTAAGAATCGGAGCTCGGGTCCGAGATGACGTTTCAGGAGGCTCTTGTGGTAGAGCTTCGTCTAGAGCACTTCTCATCCCCTGCTGAGTGTTCGACGCGTGATGTTCAACTGCTTCACTTGAATCATCGATGCCACAATTTTTTGGTGGGGATTCTCTTTCGTCTGCAGCTTCATTCACGTTTCCTTCTCGGGTTTTGTTTGTCACATTTGGGTGCGCAAATCCCAATTGATTTTCAAATTTCCGTCGTTTAACCGACTGAGCCCGCGCTCCGCTCGTTGCGCTACGTCTTCTGAGAGCACCTCTCGGCAAATGGCTCCGTTCCTCCCAGATCGCTTTCCCTTCAACACCTGCAACAGAGGTGTAGAGGGCGAATTTAGATGTGTACGTAATATATTAAGCTTTGGAATTGTAACGTTAAACGAGTGGTGCTACAACAGAACGTAGTTTCTTGTCCGTACTTTCACTCAAATTACAAAGAAACTTCGATCGTCAATAATCCTCGCTTAACGAACAAGAGCGGCTTCCGCCTTCAGAGAAGTCACTGTGGAGCTTCGCAGGCGGGTCCAGTGGGGAAGCGGTGCGCGGAACCTCGCCGTCTCCCCGCGCCCGGGCTTCCAACGCCGCCCGCGAGCGCCGGGGCGACCTGGCCGGGCGGTTCACCCGTTGGTTGGTACGTGAGTGCGGGCGAGTTCACGGCTGACGTCATTATTCCCGTAAATGCAGTGCACTGTCATCGCAGGGGCGGTGATCTTCCCCGCCGGATAGCGAGACCCCGTGCCGAGCTACCCGGCGGTTAGCGCAGGATTTTTTCCCATCAGGTATCTCTCACCAGCGGGTCATCCCTCTAGCTCTAAGCTCCCGACCGTCTCCCGGTATGTGATCTAGTGTAGTGTATGTTAGTGTAACTGTGTGTAAGGGGTGAGGATAGGACAAGGAAGAGGAAGATGAGATTGCGCGCGGTCCGTTTGATAGGACACTGTAGCCGCATTCTCCTGAAGACAGCGGCTGAGTTCGACCTAGCTAGTACATAGAGTCGAATATCCTACCACTGTCGAGACTTCAATCAGAGAACCTCCCTCTCAGAGGCACTGCAGTGACATCAGATATGAATGTGGAGTCTTCCTTTGTCGGCCATTGTTATATAAACTAGTCTCCTAGCGGCGGTATCGTGAATTACACGTTATTTCGAAACTCATTTGTTTCTCCAAGCTCTACTGTTACTGCTGTTGAGATGCTCAACAGATATCTAGTGCGACTCATAAATTATGTAAGAAACAACGGTCTCATTTCTTGCGCCGCCAGGCGCAATTCGTTTTCAGCAAAAGAACGTCAGTCCATTTACACTGTCCACCTGCGAGACTCGTCATGAGGAAATTACACGAAATAAGACAAATACAAACGACGTACTCCACTAATTACCATACAAAATTAAAAAAGATTAGCTCTTCGGGACGTGAATGTTAAAAATCATGTCTTAGCAGTTACATACATAACAGTTGGAAACTTCGTTCCAAATGTCACTTTTCAAACTTCAATAGCTTTGCATTTGCATAGATACGTTAGTCAGCGTTCTGTTTCATAAATCAAGATATTACCGAAATTCTGTCACAAAAATACTCAATTCAAACTTATAATCGCAATAATTTAGCTCTGAGTCAATAAAATAAGAATGTGCTCAAGAGCATGAGGTTTATGAACTTTTCATTTTCTTTCATTATTACTACAAAATGGGGACCGAAATTTATTGTAATAAAGAATGCAAAAAATGTACACGTGCACGTATTTATTTTCTCCAAAACATGAAAGAAAAACAGAAAATACGAAAGGTAAAAACTCCTGCGCCATTTTCTTAAACTTCCTTCGGATTATTCAATAAAAATTATAAAAAACGTTGAAGCCGTTTTTGAGAAAACATTTTTAAAGAAAATTAAAAATTGCCTATATTTTACACAAAATTACGTGAAAAATACTAAAATTTTTCGAAAAATTGTACTGGACCTTACTTAAAAATCTATCTAATATGGAAAATATTTTATTAAGAGAAGAAATGTCTATCTTTAACACTGTAGTTGTAGGAACAGGCCGAACAAATTTGAATTTTTGTAATTTTCTAAAAATCAGTTTTTAACGAACATGATACTTGCATCATTCTCTTAAATGTCTTTCAATATTATCCAACAACAAAATTTAAACAAAATATTTGGGGACTTTTTGAAATTTTGAAAATGTTTCACGAGTTTCATGGAAAGTACACCCCAAATTTAAAATATCGATTTCAAATTCAAGGAGTTACGGCATCCCACAGATCGATTGAGAAATATCAATTTTGGAGAAAATCGGCAGATCAGTTTCGTAAGTAGCGTTGTTCAGAGAGGATGGAGAGAGAGGGAGGGATGGGCCAACGGACGTACAGACGTGTTTTCCCGTCAATCTACGTTTTGGTACCGAGGACCCATACAACATGGATATTTTGGGGGTACTTTACATGAAAAATCAACACTTTCTAAAAAAGGCTTCAAAAGGTAGTTTATTTTTCTCGCATAGATTAAAAGACGCTTAAAAAACAGCAAATGTTTCGTTTTCGTTGAACACTGTTTGAAAAATGGCTTCTTCCTAAAACTGCAATGCTGAAGATTTCCTTAATGAAATCCGCCCTTCAAAGATAAGGTTTTAAATAAGGTTATGCACAATTTTGTTTAAAGATATGAGATAGTATGATGAGTAGTTCTCGCGTAATTTGTGTGGGTTTTTTCAAAAATCTCTCTACAAATTTGTATTTAATTTCTTTTTCGAGAAAGAGGAATGCATGTTTCTAAAAATGGCGCACGCCAAATTTTTCTTTCTCTCCTTCTATTTTTGAAAAATTAAAAGTTAGTTCTGAATCTTCAAACACGCTCCTTTCACCCACTAGCGGAGAAATTTATTTCTTGGGCGACGAAACAGGCGATTTGAATTTAGCTCAGAGGCGTCATTTAGGCTTGAGTATCTTTTACATGCAAGTAAATCTACTAACATGGGACAGCCGGTTTTACTTCCACTCCGAAGGAAGGATTTTTTGGGGCGGCTTCGATCGGGTTTGAACTCGCCAACTTGGGCGTAACAGTCCGATACGCTAACCGTTTGTTTTTTTTCAAAATGTCCGTCCATATGGTGTCTGTGAACACTACTAGCACCTAAACCATGTGTGTAAGGATATTTCCAAAATTGAAGAAACCCCTATACATGTGGATCGAGTTAAAACTTTGAGATTTTAAAAAACATTCTTTCAAAATTGGGGTATTTTACAGGAAGACATTTTCAAAATTTTCTCAAAAGCTACTTTTTTTGTTTGTAATTTTCGAAAATTTCAAGAGTTTTCGAGCGTCTCCCTACAACCACACAATTGAAGATAGAGATTTTCCTTCAAATAACATTTGTTGTCCATAGTGAGTTCTTTCATTAAGGTCATGTACATTTTTTTGAAAATTTTTAGTATTTTCGCGCAATATATGCAATTTAAAAAAATTACAAACACAAGATTTTCTCAAAAACTGCTCCAAATTTTGTCTTCAAACATTTCAAACGGATATTACTAACTGTACTTTTTAATATGACAAAGGTCATTTCAGTGTATTTTTTTAATTACACACAATGTAAAATTTTTGAAAGATCTTTCAATATGATATCCACACTTCTCAATATGATATGCACTATTGTATTTGTGAGTTAATGTATTTAAGATAATTTCAAAATCAGTTTTTCGAAAACTCGAAAACTTTCCGTGAAAAAGAGCTTCAAATTTCGAATTTACACTAGCGCTTAAACCCCAGGTTTTTAAAAAACGGCTCCACTTAGGACGACTGTTCTTTGATAATCTTAAAATAATATTTCCGGTCTACAATTAGGAAATCGAAAAATTAAGAAAATGTCAAAAAATATAATTTCTGGCGGCGGTAGATGGCAGCAAGCAAGAATATGTGGCAAGTTCTAATACTAAAGGAGACCAGGAAATAGAAAACTAATACGGGAAAGACTGTGCTACCTCGTAGTACCTCTAGTTTAATATGTGGCAATGGCTTCTGGAGCAGAGGGCCGATGCCCCACGAGAGACTCAGGTGAGCCTCTGCATTCCACATAACACAAATTGAATGAAATTATGATTCTCAATAAAGAACCCACACTATGTAAAAGAACAATTTCTCTGATAATTTATATCAAAATATATAATACAACGAACAGTTTGTACAACAATGCTTTTAGAGGAGTTTATGATGTGAAAATTTCAAAATTGAAAAGGATCAACATCAAGTACTTTTTATAATTTCCTTTGTCCCCCCCCCCCCCCAACCATATTTTTCACAGCTTTCTCTCTCACACATATTGTTCATCCCAACTAGCTTCCAGTCTCCACTCAGTGACTCTCACGACTCATCCGTACTTGGACATAATTTTAACCACATGGAACATCCGCCCGCAATGTAATAATAAAATACTATTTTATAAATGCGTAAAGGGAAACAATTGGGTGAGTCTGTAAACTTCTTATACTTGAGTTCATGGGCATCACCAATGGGGATGAGAACCATAAGAATAATTGTTTCTTCCAACTCACCATCTGCCTCGGCACCAGCTCCATGAAAATGTTCACTGCATGATGCCAAAGGGTCCTGCAGCAGAAAAATAGACAAGTCTAAAATACCTGCTTCTCTGTCTGAAAAATGACCCTCAAGTTGTTCGATAATTCAGTTCACCAGGAAAGTCTCTCTGCACCTAGCCGGGTCACAGCGTCCTATTAAAAAAAACACATTAAAGCTGGTAGCAACCATATCACAAACAAGTGACGAGGACAACACTTCCAGCATCTATTAAGACTATGGTGAGTGTGCTATTTACATTTTCTTTGTTACAAGCTGCAGGTTCTGCTACCAATATAATTTCTGTTGGTAGCACTCTCCCCAGTAAGGTACAACTGTGTAGACACTTTCCAGGTGCGCTTCATCAAAATTATTAATAGAATTAGTGATACTAATATTAATTATAATAACACTCTGTATAATAAACTTTGCGAATATGACATATTGTAAAGGAAGTTATCTCGTATAAATGAGTAAATAACTAAATAAATATTTTCATCCAAGCAAAATAAAACTTGTTGAAATTATCAAAAATATAAACATTATTTTTCTAGTCATGTCTAACATAAAATATGACTTAAATATGAATTAAACCAGATTCTTATGTTATTACATTTTTTTTTTTGTCTTTCTATGTTCTATGCTCTTTGAAAATCTGGGCAATACTAACACACATGCAGATTTTTCATTATATTTTTTTTCATAGTTTGGACTGTGTTAAATATTTTATATATTTGGCAAATTGTTTTATTCTTCCAATATTCTTAAAATTAATTTTGCAAAAAATATTCAATGAAGTGTATTTTATATTACATATTATTTCGATTTTTTCATATTTTTTACATATTCTTGTAATTAACTGATATATTTATGTACATATTTTTTTCCCCGCCTTTAATCATAAGGTCGGTTCTTTCACCCGGCCAATCAAATTTGCATTCAGATTTGTGTCAAAATACATTGTTTTCAAGAAGTGAATCCACTTATTACAATGGATATTGGACAGTTCAATAATTGTTGCAGAAAGACTTATTCAGAAATGCAATGATCTAACTGTTCTGTTTAGAACTATTTCAGGAATGGCTCTATAAAACATTCTGTAATAACATACCATCATTATGATGATCACATGCAGACATGGGTTTGTTTCTTGATATGGATGACTTTTATGCACTTTACAAATTCGTGCAGGATGTTGTGGAGAGGGAGGGAGATAACTGCCTCATTGAAATACTCGACATTTGGCAAATCTTTGGGAGCATTTTTCAGAAAAGCAATTTCAGGAAAGGTATAGATTTCAGAAAAGAACAGTAGTAAAACTTCTGTACTCTCTGATGATTAGATTATCAAAGTCTGATAATTAGGGGGCAGATTTTCATGACCTAAAACTGTGCATTTATCAATAAAAGGCTCTTAAAATGATTTTAAAATCCCCTAAAAGCAAAGCAAAATGACAAACATTTTTATCAAAAACAGTTCAGATGAACAACTCAAGCTGTTGAATATGTTACTAATGTAATCAAGACTCTTTTCTTTTGTTCAAAGTGAGCTCAGCTTTTGGTATTGAATGTTCTTTACCAGAAAATCACTGTCTTTAGTTATCGCAGAATTGGCCAAACAGACAGGAGTGCTGATAGGCACCGCAGGAACCTGGTAATACATACTCACAATGACTAACAAATTTCTAAGCAAAAAAACTGAGTAGGCTATTTAGGAATTCTGTGAAGATTATTTGTTTCGTCTTGTAAATATTATTTGAAACAAGTACCATTAACATAATACTAAAATCAATGAAATCAGTAAAAAATGCTTTAAAAATGATGGGAAAAGGAAAAAAAGTCTTATTATTTGTAATTGATGAAAAATGCTAAAAAAATGCCATATAAATATGGATCATTTCACATTGTCCTTACATAAAATTAATGTCTATGTAAAAGGCATTGTTCTAAAGTAAAAAGAAAAAAATTACATTTCATTAAAATCCGCACCCTATGGAAAACCGATACCCATTATGATTATACTTTCGATGGCCTTGAGATTTTTTGCTACTGGTGTTAAACAGGTAAGTTGACAGTTAATCCACATTTTTGTTTATTATTTATAAATATTCTTGCATTATATATAATATGTATTTCAGAGAGACAATAGAGATTTCCATGGCATCAGCTGAACAAGAGTTGGCGTAATTGTAAAAGAAGTGGCAGATATTCTTCCTGGTGAACTAAGGAACAATGTTCAATTGCCAATGACTCATCTACAGCAAGAATCAACAAAGCAAACATTTTGTATGATTAAGCAAATTCCCAGGATGATTGGCTGTGCTAATGGAAGAAATTGTAATTGATTCACCAGGAAAGAACATGCCTGAGATGTACTCCAACAGAAAACCTTTTCTTAGAATGTACAAGTGAGTAATTCTTATCTTCATACACCATCCCAGATTATACTTAATCATTATTCAAATGAGTAGTCCAATGCAAGGGCCAATGAGTGGACAAATATGCACTCTATTCTCAAATACAGAATAATAATCTGGGGCCAAGCACCAGAGGCTATGCAAACATTCAAAATACAAAAGAGAATCATCTGGACAATAACAAAAACAAAAATCAGACTCCTATAGACCTCAATTAAAAAAACTTAATATCCTTTCACTGCCTTGTATAGTCATTTACAAAATTCTCATGTTCTAAAAGAAAAAGATAATAAACAATGACATACCTTACAAATTTAACTCAAGAATACACTCTTACAACACAAAGCAAGCATATAACCTTTGTCAACAATTGTGCACAAGCACACTGCCAAAAGGACACACTCTCTACAGGAATACAATTCTTCAACAAATTACTAATACATCTGAGAAACGTAACAGTATTACAGAACTTCAAAAATAAACTTACACACTTCCTTGGACAAAAACTTATTTACAGTGTTCAGGAATACCTCAGTAACTAATATGTGCAATCTGATTTCAGGTGTTGCCGTAGGACTAGATGTAGAAACAGAAAAAACCTACCTCCATTTTGAGAACATCGTCACCATTTTGAGATTCAAACATTGAATGTACTAATATTGTTAAATTATATGTAGTTGTTACCATAATTGATACCATGTATTATTATTTCTATTATTATTATTACTATTATTATTATTATTATTATTATTATTATTATTATTATTAAAATGTGGTGAGAGCAATGTCTGTGAGTCTGGAAGCAATGTTTCCGATGTTTAAGGCGATGTCTGAGCCTGAATCTAGAGAACATTGCTACAGTGATCTATACAACCAGGGTTGTACACAATATTGCTCAAAATACTCACGATTCTTTGCCTGAGAATTACATTGGAAACCAATGGCCAGGGTTGGTTGCTAAAAGATGTTTTATCAATAGACACTTCCAGTGAAATAGAGTAACTTACAAATAAAAACATAAACGAGGAGGCATAATCTTTTATTTTTTAGAATTTTCCAATTCCTTCAACAATATTTTTTCTTTTAATTCTTCATTCCTTAACTGTTTTTCTAAATACTTTTTTCTGAGATCATGAAGTTTTTTTTCCTTCTGCATCATTAATTTATGCATTTCTTCCTGCTTTTTGATATCTTCAACAAGTTTTTTCAATCTCTCACATCCTGATGTTTTTTGTCGTCTCTCATTTGTCCTAGGGGTCATTACTGCAAAGTAAATAAAATAATGAGATTTTAGAGTCATGATAATAATTTATGCAACTTATATTGTTGTAACATTTGGTGAATTATGCTCTTAACCGTTATTCCAATTTAATTATAGTAAAATTTAATGTTTGATAAGCTGACACACTGTTATCCAATCAGGACCTTAATACCAAAAATTAAGTTGTAATGAAACTCCGAATTGGATATCCACATCAAGTTGGTTAAATGTCAAGCCATTATAATTAAATCAATGTATATTTTTCTTTGAGATACTTAGTATCAGAACGACTGCAATCACACTGAATAAGCTTTTAATTACCGACTCTTTTTAATTTAACAATGTTGCAAATTATAATTGAATAGCATTGACTGAAGAATTGTGGCCATCAATGTTATGTTTACTTTCTGAATCTTAACACATTTTTAAAATGACATACTCTGAATATTGTAGAAAGGTTTAAGTTTTGTTTTGAATGTGATTAAATAGAAGATCTCTCTCTTTGTTTTCCTCTGCTCACAATGGGTTCAATACAAATAGCTTCTTATAAAGAACAAAGTACTTACAAAAAATCTTTCACATCAAAATCCAATCTTTATTGTTTAAAATTGATAATTAAGTAAAATGAAGATAACTATTTATTTTAAGAGCATCATCAGCACTTTATGATAAACCCCTAATAGTATTTTTTTTAAAAACATTTTTACTGAGTAAATATAAACAACATTTAAAAATTCAATACTATCATGTAAAAATTCAAAAAGCACTCAGATGTAAGAGTAATCATAATGATAAAAGTAACAACAATTTAAATAATGTGAGTTGTGAAAGAAAACATTTTTCTTTTTTTAATTATATTTTATGCATAAAGCACTGCAGTCCTCCGTTTCAAAAATTTTCTTTTTAAAATTTTTACTAGCAGAGAGGAAAGCTGTACTTTCTTTAATTTTTCATCAGAGCTTAAAACAAAAATTCAACATACTATTGGCAGGATTTTCTATTACATATTCTTGCTCTGGTGATGCAGTTGGAATATTGACTGAAACAAGCTCCATGATACTAATAACAGCAGGAACAGACATCACATTCCCACTATTGTTACTAATGTTATTTTCAGTAGTAACTGCGGCAGTAATATGGTTATTAGCTATACTGCTGCTGCTAGTAGCATCGATTGCTGCATCAATTATACCAGAGGCACGTTCAGTAGACAATAATGCAAACATCCTGCAGTGTGCAGAATCAAATTGATTGGGTACTTCCCCAGCTATGTATGGTACCCTCGTCAGCACATCAGCCTGCACCTAAAAAGAAAAAGAGTGGGGTAGGGATTTGGGAGCAGAATATATTCACAGATCATACTTCTCATAGCCATTTTTTTTATTTTCTGATTAAATAAAGCTAATAAAATCATGTTGCTGTCACATTTGAAAGGCGCACCCCTGTTTTTTATTTTTCAGCATTTTTTCAATATTTGTTCTCCGCTATCATTTGAAATTGATTTTAATTTTTTCCAATATCTGAAATAAAAAAAACATATAGGTTTTTAAACATCATTTAAAAGTTTTTAATCCGCAATGGGATGATAGAAACATTCAATACATGGTAACTACAATAAATTTCCAAGCATTAAGGCCTACAGTTCCTTTTAAATATTTATGAATCGAATTTCAATGTAAATATTTCACTCAATTATTGTAGGCATATACATGAGCCACTTTCAAATTAATTACACAAAAATTTTAAAAAAACAAACAAGAACAAGGTACATACCTTTTCAACTGTTTGGCGTTGCAATGGCTAACACCCTCACATGCAGTAAAATTGTAAGAAATTTTTTTCCACGAGAAAGTTTTGGTAGTCGGATCATTTTTGTTTCTTTTCCCATCATTTTCCACCAAAATGGTCTTCGCAGTTTCGGTGAAGGTGAACTCTTCTTTGACAACATTTTCTAATTATTATACCACAAATTCACAAAACAGTTTATGAATATTCACTAAACTGCTTCTGCTAATGTGGAGCAATGCTCTCTCTACGGCGAAAATCACGAGACACAAAACAAGGAAACAATTGAATTCTTATACCACTCGCACAAGGTGAAACCATTCGTAAATCCTCATTAATGACATGCATGATATATTTACATATAATCACATCTTTACAAAAGAGCATACAATCATATCGAAACAAGCAATTTAATTACTTTATATTAGCATTTGAGTGAGTTATATTGGTACCATTACCTCAAAACATTTCCTTGTTTCCCATAAGATTGCCAGTGCACCTCGAACCAGATTCTGGGAAGCTGCTACCTGGGGGAGTGATGGCATTAGGTCATTGTTACACCTCTCTTGCCTTATAAAATGAATCTCTTTAATTAATTCGCAAATGTCCTTCTCAACGGGCCTTAGAAATGCGCTTACCACAGTTAAAAAGATTCGTTTTATAAGGCAGGAGGTGTAACAAAGACCTAATGTCATAAGCCACTTTAAAAAAAGATCGAAATTTACGGGACTTTTTAAAATTTCAGATGTCTCCTGTTATCCTAGTAAGCCCCCAGATGGCAAGTCCCTGGGAAATCTGCTGGCAGAGGTTCATAAATACAAACAAAAACCCCGCAAGTTTTTTTTTTTTTCAAACTTGCGGACGTTTTGAAAACAACAACAGTTTTTCGGTATCTGGGACCCCAAAACGATGTATTTACGATGAAATCTCAAACTCGATTTTCCACAGCATTACATGACTTTCCCTATACTACGTATATTACTCTGTGCATACGTACGTATACGGGGAAAGTAAAATGTTGCAATATCAAGATTAATGATTTAGAGGGAGTGTTAGTGCAAAGATCACAACCCACACAAATGCTTACCTCACACTCAAAGGGAAGCGTTTTGATCGGTGTGATCTTCGATGAGAGCGGGTTCTAGATCTGGACAATCTGGTAAAACTGAAAGTCGATGGCACTTCTCCAGTCCTCCCAAATCCCTTCCTCAACAAGTCGTCAATGTCACTCCTCTTTGCCTAAGAAACCTCGCTGGCAGATGGGACAGCCAATAGTTCTCATATGAAGTGCTCTGCCTATCTTCTTTGAAAATAGGACCGAATGGGTTGAAAGGATAATCACCTGGATGATCTGGCTCCATATCTGAGAGATACAACGTATTTCCAATCTTTCATTGTCTTTCTTAGCATTATTTTCTTCATTTCCCTGCCCCGTCACACTTCTTATAATATTTGCTGAAATCCTTGTAATTCTTCACTATCTAGTCTTCCTACAACGTGATCTTAACCAATTGTCTTGTAAATTTTGAGATAATGATTTGATTTTACAATTTCCAACTTCTTCTTTACTTTATTTTCTATTATTCCAAAACTCCACCAACCGGCAGAAACGAATGTCCCATTACAGAAAAGAAAAGTGTGATATTCCTCAGATGATGAGGGACATTATGGAGAAGATAAAACACCATGACACGAAGACGCAAATTGGACCCTGTACTGATCTACAACACTGTACACTATTGAATGTACTGATCTACCTGATCAGTACATTCAATAGAAAAGTTTTATACTCCTGTAACGTGAAAAATGTACACAAGGACACAATACAATTTGCGCCAACCATAAGTAAGGGCATAATACGATATGACCCACGTTTTGAAGCTTCCTTTATAAGGTACCCCACGTTTTGAAGCTTCATTTATAAGAAATAAATTCAAAAATGCTAAAACAAAATCACCCATTTTATTCTTATTGACACCACAATATCACAATGCATTCCATCATCCTCACATCACATTCCCCACTGTCAAATTGTTATTTCCTCGTTACGATACTCTACGCCTATTGGAGACTAGTCCAGACCTTTCAACTGCACTCCACGAAGAAGATCCTGCAGCCACACACAGATAATGCTAATGTTTAATTGGCTTAACAAAAAGTTATATGTTGGCGATGATGTATCACAGAGAAAACCATCTTTAAATTCCACGAAAAACATTATAATACAGAAATGTTTTATAAAATGTGTAATTTTGAACACAGACCGCAGTGACCCCAACTCCACGATTAGATACAAAGGGACAATCAGAAAAACTACAGGCATGGCCTAAGCTTACAGGATTGGTCTCCGACGTCGACAGAACCATATATCAATAAACTGCCTACAGTACGATTTATTTCGCCGTGCACATGACACATACAAACTATTGCTGTTTCAACCAATCGATTGCTACAGTGACATCACTATGGGGAAAGTTCGAGCTCCCGATCTCGTGAACAGCTGATTTACTTCAAATGCATGGTTAAATAAATCCTAGTTTAGTTGGATAATTCGCATAGTGAGAGCGTAGGCATCCGCGGCCGGAGTCAGTATTTACTAGGCTGTCCGGGTGACGCCGCGCCCATGGCGAAGGCGCCGACGTTTCGATCGCCATTCTGCGACCTTCCTCAGGGCGTAATGCCATTCTGCGACCTTCCTCAGGGCGTAATGAAACGTCGGCACCTTCGCCATGGACGCGGCGTCACCCGGACAGCCTAGTAAATACTAATTTGCATAGTGATTGTGAGAGAGACACAGAGATTGTGGAGGGGAAGACGATCCATCTAATGTGGAGGGGACCAAAGAGAACATGTTCTCACGTCTCATCACAATTTGAAGCCTCTGATTGGATAAAGGGGTCCCCCCTCTCCCCTGTCAGTCTCTCGCTGTCAAGAACACAGAAATGGTATTCGGATAAACCACCTTTGTCTTTGAAAAGGGAAACTGCCGTTATCCAAAAGTAAATTTATTATGCCGTGTTTACACGAACAGAACAAAGAAAGTATAAATGCATTAAAGAATATTCAAGGAATTTTTAAAAAGTGCAACAAAAAAGAGATGTAAACTTACAAACTCAAACAACCTGCAAGATATTTTTTTTTTTAGTAAAATTGAGAAAAACTATGTACGAGCGAACTTGTTGGCATTTTATAATTGAAGTGTAGTTTATTGTTTAAAAATTATTTTGTAATTTAATGCAATTAAAAACACTTTATTTCATAGCAATTAGCACGATTCTACCTGATGTATGATTCCCCCAACTTCATGGCAATAAAGGGTCAGTAAACAAAGGTAAACATCAAGCAGGCCCATCAATTGGCATTTTTTCACCGGACACAATAATGACCTTGGATGGCAGGTTACACTGTGCTTCAGCAGCTGTCGTTCTTACCTCTTGTAGCTGCTCAAGTTCATCGTTGGACTCTTCAAGGGCACTTAAAAATATCCCGACAGGTGGCTTCACTTCCTCCTGAAAATGTACCCAAACACTCACATATTCAAATATTCTCTCTCTTTGATTGGATTAGGCAGAAAAGCATGAGTTGCAAAAAATCTGAACTATAACGAATACTCATTAGCGTTGTTTTGAATTCACACATTAGCATTGTTTTGAATAAAGCTGAATGAATGATGGATGAATCCTCTCAAACTTCACTGATGAGCAGGTTCATTTGATATTATTACATTATACATGTGTATTATAATATTTATTTACTCATTATTCACAGACATTACATTATTTACGAAGAAACCACCAGGACTTCATCAAAGGTTCCTTCAGTTCTTTATTTGCTGAGCTGCTTGAGAGGAATTGAGGGAACCTGCCTTCCCTTAATTACTATTTACATTTCGGTATTCGGTATTCAGCCGGTTTAGATGAATTTATGGATTGTTTGCTCAAGGTTTGCGCGCCCGCCTTTATACACCCGTTAACTCACATATTAAATGTATCCTTATGCATAGGTATTGTTACAGATATTTTTAAAGCAATGAAGATTAATTCGGTTTTCAAAAAAGGAAACAAAAATGAAACTCAAAATTATCGGCCAATTTCTGTTTTGTCTTTTTTTCCAAAAATATTCGAGAGACTTTTTCCATGCGAATGGAAACATTTCTTAGTAAACACGACGCGAGTTCAGATTGCCAACGTGGGTTTCGAAAATCAAAATCCACGGAAACAGCCATATTTTCTTTTCTTAAAGATGTCGTCTCATCCATGAATCAAAACGGAGCACCTATTGCAATATTTTTAGATCTTTCAAAAGCTTTTGACTTTATTGATCATAACATTTTGCTCTCAAAATTACCTTCGAATGGAAACCGTGGTATTGCTCTAGGCTGGTTATGTTCATACCTTAAACAACGATCTCAGATAGTAGAAATACCTTACTGGAATAATGCCAAAAAGTTCACGTCTTCGGCTCTGTGATTACTCAAAAAAACTTCTATCACAGCGTTAAACTATGTTCACGAGCATAGTTCTTTGTCATTTAGTTTTTGATCGATATTTTTGTTCTTCATTGAAAGGTGTATTAGTGAAAAGATAAAAATCCCTCCTTTTAACTTTGGGCCGCTGAATTTAAAAAAAAAAAAAGACTAAATATACAAATACTTCGCCATTTTTATTCACTGTCTTCAGAAAATTCTTAATTAAACCGAGTTTTCTATGAAGGGGTTGTGAGTGTGATTTTTATTTTCAGGCAAAGGAGGCATGTCTTCACTCTTGGTTTCAGCACAGAACTCACAGTAGGGTACTCCATATTATGTTTCAATTTCTTCGAAAATCCTTTTACATCAGCCTTGCAAAGCACACAAGCAATCGCTACAGTGAATACTATGTTCGCGCCCCAGCGTTGTTATTGCAAATGACATTTAATACTAATATGGACAAAACCCATCGTATCGTGTGTATCAAAAACAAGATGTGATAGAACAAAAGACATCTCTGTGCTCATTCTGTGCCAGTACAAACGTACTATATAGCACGTGGACAGCGCTGGGCGGAAGAGACGCGGGGGCTGCAAAAAGGCTGGGTAGCAAGGGAGTTCGTGGGAGGAACGTGGAGATCCGGACACGGCGGAAACGCGTCGGCGGACACTGG